TGGTTTATTTTTTTTAAGCTAATCACTAAGCCTTTCTTTCTAGTCTTAGTCTGGTATCATGATATCAACTCACAAGTCTCCAGTGGGAGGGAATGGTTGCACTTGCAGTGTGTTGCTGGGAGTTGAAATCAGATCTTTTGTACAAACCAGTCTAGTCATTGAGTCAGTTCTGATTTGCGGCAACTTGACTACCAAGCAGAAGAATGGCAGCATGAACTCACTCATTGGTGATGTGAAAGAAAGGCCTGGCAATCTATTTCCATAAATATTACTGCCAAGACAAACCTATAGGACAGTTAACTGAACTCTGTAATATGTAATATTGCCATGGTCTCCCACATGGAGGATTCTACCACAGACCCTTCTCTGCCTTCAGGCACAAAGTTGTGTGGTAAGGTGCTGTGGAGCCAATTCAGGGCCATGTGGTAGTAGAACTCCCTATACCTGTGCTGTTGTTGTTGTTGTTGTTGGCTACCCCACATAGCTGACCCTAAGCACAACAAATGAAACCCGGCCTGATACTGAACCAGACTCGCAATCTCTGCCGTCCTGAAGCCCACTGTTGCAGTTATTGTACCAATCCATCTCACGGAAGATTTTCTTTTTTTTTTGGCTGATTATCTACTTTTCCTCCAAGCATAAGGTTCTTCTTCAGGGACCAGCTCCTCCTGAGAACATGCCTACAGTATGTGAGACCATTCTTCTTTCCAAGACACTCTGGCTTCTGTAATCTTCACGGGAGCAAATTGTTAGGGTTTTTCTCTTTTAAAGAGGGGCTGATGGGTTCAAATCACTGATAGATTTGAACTACTGACCTTTCAATTAGCCACTTAGCAGTTAACCATTATACCATCCTAGCTCCTTTAAGGCACACAATAGGGCTTCAAAACTATGGCTTAAGCAAGTTTGTACTTTTTCTCTCTTCTTTCTCAACCCTTTGGTAACTACAGTGTTGTTGTTGTTGTTATGTGCCGTCGAGTCGTTTCCGACTCATAGCGACCCTATGCACAACAGCCCTAAACCCTGCTCTATCCTGC